CCTTAAATACTTCTATATAATCCTAAGTATTTCTACATAATTTTAAGTGTTTTGTATAGATTCAAGTATTTTGATATATACTTTAAATATTCAAATACAAATAACAAATACTTATAAATATAAGGTGTGGTGACTTAGTGAAGTAGTTAAGTTGTCAACCTTTCAAGTAGTAGGTTGGGAGTTCAAAACCTACTGATGACAAGAATTTGAAAAACTATTTATGTTATATCAGTATTACAAGAGATAAGTAATATTATAGCAATAGTATTTCATCGATCAGTTAGGATCAGTACCTGTAATACAGTTGCACCAAATGATTAGCAAGTTATAGAGCATCTGCATAATGTTAAAATTATACAAAAAAATACAAACTAGCATCAAGTAGTGCAAATCCAAAATAAGTCTTCATGATTGTGTAAATTTATGAACTAGAAAACCAGAGCTCATTTGGAAAAACCCAAATAAAGAGATAATATAGATCTTTGACAGTACTATTATAAAGACTAGATCTAAGAAATAGATACTAATATGAATAGAATCAGATAGGTAAGAACCTTAGATAAGAGTTCTACTAACCAGGCTGCTAAAAGTCTTGAACTGAAGAAAAAAGACTTGGAAGGCAGATACTGGAATATCAGAGATAGGTTATAGTTCTACTAAACTATCTGGATTAAAAGTCTAAAGTCAGAAACAGAGGTATACTATAAGTACTAGAGATATGCTATGAAGTTGATGCTATGATCTAGATAAACTCTGCAAAAATGAGCTCTGTTAATAAGAGACTAAATATGGATAGTTAGTTAGCAGAGGACCTTTTGGAGCTCTATAGTTAGGTGACATACTTTGAAATATATAACAGCATGACAGATATACAGACAAAGAGGTCACAGTTAGATTAGATGCCACTTAGGTGTACAGGAACTTGTACACTATTTGTTAATATAAGTATATAAATCAAAGTATTTAAATAAGTAATCTTTTAGTAGATTGCAAGTATAGCAGCTAGTATAAAATCTGCTATATGAGCAAACTACTTAAAATAAACAACCAAAAGTTGTACATATGGCTAGTTGTATGCTTATCTTGTACAAATTATATAATTATAATTAAAATACAATAAAAGCAATAGCTACTGATAACTATGACCTTAGTGTAAACAAAATATATATATATATATTTATAAATATTATTCTACTATTCTTATCCAAACTTTATTTATTATTATATAATTTTTTTTTTTATATATTAAATTAACTTCTTTTGGGACTGAAACTTTTTATTTAGTAATTAGGATATAAGAACTTATAGCCAAGGTCTCAAAGAAGTTACCTTTATATTAAAAAGTATAACTAATCATATGTACACTTTTGATGTCTAATTTAAATAATCTACAAATAATTTTATCTTAACTGTTATACCTGTAACCTAACTAGAAGCATTGCCTATTTAAATCCTCTGTACTGTAATCTTTACTATGTCATTAAATCATTTTTGATATACATATCAGTTAAAAAAATCTAGATGCTTACCTATACCTTTAGGATCCTATATCTTATTTTATATAATGTATTTTCAGAAGTATTATTACTAGAACTTTTTATATCCCATATATAGCTAATCTAATTTTATATAACACACTATAGTTATCTAATACTTGCAATCTATACAAATTTCTATTACTTCTACTAAATAAAAAAATATATAAAATATATCTTTTCTTTCTAATTAATTCTAAATTTCTATATTTTAACTCAAATATAATGATTTATTAATTGTAAAATGTAATATTCTCTTTCTAAAATAATTCCTATAGGCAAGATTATCATATGTATTAATAAAGTGTTAATCTATATACTATTACTATCTTAAACCATTTGTCTGTTACTGTATAATAAAATAAACTACTACATCATCATCTCATATAATACTAAAGTATTTCAGATATGCTATAAAATAGATGTTAGGATTATTTGCAATAATTAATCACTGTACTGGATGACTTTGTTACTTGGTTGTATTGTACCAAAAAGGTTGCAACCCTATAATATAATATAACTATAAAGTAAATATACAAATAAGAAGTAAGTGAAATATAAAAGATCATATAATGCCAATCTGTGAATAAGGGATTATATTCTTAAAGAGCTAATAATCCCCTTAATAGAGGTTTAGTCAGTAACATAAGCGATCTATGGATATCAGCTGTAAGATGACAGTTAAGAAAACAGACATTAAAAATGTTGTGTACGGTTTTACTATGTAACGAATAATATAAAGTGTACCTGTAAGACGCTGTAAGCAACCTACATACCTAATAAAGTATGAACTGTTCGGTGACGTTAACCCTAAAAAAAAAAGAATGCCAACACTGTATATAAAATATAGAATCCTACAACTTTTTATAAGAGCAATATTTTAAAATTGGTAATTTTGTAATTTATTCAAAGATCAAAGGATCCAAGTTAGCTAATCTACGTAATTTTTAAAATATTGCTTCTATAAAAAGTCGTTACTTTAGAACACTAAAATACTAAGTTTCATCGGTTGGCAGAAAACTGAAGCATTCTAGATGACATTAAGAACATAGACTTCTATAATTTCCTGTTGCATAATCATTATCATCAAAAACCAGCAACTTCATTTATTTAACAATTATAGATAGTAGCAAAGAAACTACTCTTTAAACATTAACGTTTAATGAAATGCACAAAGTTAATTAGTCTTCATATTATCAAATTATTCTACATCGTATCAAATAATAAAATAATTTTTTTTAAAAAAATTGAAATTATCAAAGAACCTAGAGAAATCTAAATTTAAACTAAATCTATCCGATTGGGAATAGTGAAAGAGATCAGACACGAAAAAGTATCAAAATCACAAACATTATGAGCTTACCATTCATTCAATACTTTTCGGAATCAGAATCTACATCACGACAGTCCATGTATTAAATATAACTAACTACATTAATAAGAATTAAGAATGAGACAGCACTAATATTATTATATTCCTAAGAGAACAACAATGTGCAAGAAATTGTCAGGATAACAAAGGTTTTGCGATGCCCACACTATGGGTATCTCTAATTGTGGAATAATTCCATGAATTACTGGAACTGGAGCAGCAGATGCATTCTCACTAGGTAAAGGAGACGGGAACAGTTCCGGAAGAACCTGATGTAATACATCCCCTAGTGTAAGTTGGTTTCCTATTCAAAGTTTATAATGATAGTGAATGGATTCGTTAAATTTTAAGTAATGAAATTATTATAAAAGATCATTTACCATTCTCATCAACTGGAGAGATTGGCTCCTGTATAACAGGACAATTATCAGGCAAATATATTCGTATTGGAATATGTTTCGGCATTTGTCCATCATTAATAACAAGACGGTAGTTCACACTCCAGAATCTATCATAATTCTCTGTGCGGTATTTTTGAGCGAAAAATAAGAGTTAAGGCATAATTATTTTAAGATTTAAATTGCTTCCAGCTAGTTAAATGTTTTCGTTGCATAAAGCATTGGCAAAGTCGCCATTAGTGATAGACTTGAATATTTTTTCAAAATTAGGATACTAGACCACAGCCCGTCCCAAAGCTGTGTTTGATCATTTTTCGATAAATTCATCACCTTCTTTGTGCTCCCATTTCTTAGAAAATCAGCCTTATAATTAAATATCAAACAGACAAACAATCAAAATGTGCTCAAAGTTTAATATGAAGCAATAAATTATATGATTCAAATTCACAAAAACTTACTTCCTTAATCATTGACATGAAAAAGTCCTGTGTTGCATCAATAGCTTGTGCTCTTATCAGTTTATCTGTAGGAAAATTTTTAAAATGTACTGTTACCGGCCAAGGTAGAGGTGGCGGGCTATTAGAGTCTGGCCGATATCCAGTATGCAAATCATACAACAGGCCTATAGGATAATGCCTTTAATCCCATTACATTAATTAAAATCGAAATTCACAAGTCCTTCCCGTTATAATGATATAAAAAAAAGTGATTAAAAATTATATCTTACCATTTCAATGGAGTTCCGTCGACGTCATACCATATATCAGCATCGTCTCCAATAAAATTCAGTGCCATATCCACAAAGTATTTTCTTATTTGACTCGTCCATAAAGGAAAGTATGAACATCGTGGTGCCTCTATCTGTCACAAAAAATTCGCCGGTATGATTTGTTAAAATCGATCAAATTTTCGGTATATACCGCGATATTATACTTGAAATTCAGCTCACAAAATAAGGTTCTACTATAGCCTTGGCACCCAAGGCAGCTGCTTCCGTGCTGTCAAGAGAAAATTTGATGGGTAATGTTCCATCCCAAATGGCTCTAGTAATGGGGTTTTGAGGTGCTGTCATGATAAAGTTTTCGGCTTAAATGTATAAGTAAATGCACGAATGCCCCCTAAAAATATAAGATGCGTGATCATGTGAAAACTTTAATCTTGGCGCAGGATATATTTGTTAGCCAATCACATTCACTACAAGAAAAATGAATAAAACGTGAAAAGTTTGATTTTGATTCTTTCTCCTTAAAAGAATCTGACAATTGCTCTATTCATAATGTAATATGCCCTCATTATAGTTATAATTAGTACAAGAATTCAATTATTTTAGTCACTTTTATCTGATCCTGAACCATTTTCATATAATTATAATTTATAGGGTGAACTTGAGTAGTCAGAAAAGGTTGGCAGCTAGTGTACTTAGCTGCGGTAAAAGGAAAGTTTGGCTCGATCCAAACGAAGTGACCGAAATCTCTAATGCCAATTCTCGTAAGTAATTTATATTAGATCACTTTTAACGGCACACTTTTTTATTGTGTGCGAATTACGAATGCGGGCGATGTTTGTGATAATGAATATCGAAAAAAAAGGTCGATGATCGATCCGTTAGTGGCATTACACATTATTCTGTCACATCGGACGATAAATAAAGAATTAAATGCTTACATGCATAATAAATCATATTATCTCTACACAATGAATAATACAGGTCAAAACATTCGAAAACTTATAAAGGATGGGTTAATCATCAAGAAACCACAAATTATTCATTCCCGCTTTCGTGTTAGAGAAAAATTGGAAGCCAAACGTAAAGGTCGACACACCGGTCCTGGTAAAAGAAAAGGTACTGCCAATGCTCGTATGCCTACCAGCGTGTTATGGATGAGGAGGCAACGTGTATTAAGAAGATTATTAAGAAAATACCGTGAATCGGGTAAAATCGAGAAACACTTGTATGTATTTATTTGTATTCTTAATCAATATTAAATCAATATTTTTCTGATCATTATCATTATATATTTTATAAAGGTACCATCAATTGTATATGAAGGCGAAAGGTAATGTTTTCAAAAACAAGCGAGTTTTAATGGAATATATCCATAAGGCTAAAGCCGAAAGAGTTCGTATTAAACACCTCGCGTACGTATACATCACAAGTAGTCTTTGATGATATTCCATCTCCCGATCGACATATGATAATTTGATATATTATATATATTTAGTGATCAGGCCGAAGCTCATCGTCAAAAGGCTAAGGCCGCTCGTGAACGTCGTGCTAATCGCCAAGCTCAAAAGAAGAGCGAATTACTTGGCTTGGACGTCGAAGAAGAACAACAACAACCACAAAAATAATAAACTGGATATAGTTCAAAAAATTATAGTCGGTTTAAAAGGTGTTAATGTGAATGTTCATTCTTATATTAAACATTTGGGTGAGCTTCATTCAATAATAACGCATAGAGCAGTGTTCTTTTTCAATTTTAATTGTAACCGGTGCATATTGATTGTTTCTATTAATTAAACAACGCCAAACAAATTATTGATGTCTACTAAAAAATACATATATTTCGGAAAGTTTTTGGTTAAGCTTCGTCAAACGATCATAATTACTGACAAGTTGTTATCCGATAAGTCGCACTTTAATGCGAACTATTTCTTTCCACCATGAAGTCCCAAAAATATTCTTAAAAAATATTTGAGCATCATGAAGATCAAAAACGATCTTAAACACTTGTAAATCGTTCTAAGCTATGCAATAAGAATCCATGCTTTATTTTATTTCAAACAATTAATATTGAAAATTAGAATTAACATTATAAAAGATAATATTAGTCGCGGTGATATAATCCAGTATTGACCCATCTGCTAGTTCCACTTGCATGTTCCCAATCTCCTACCCTATTATTAAGAGAGTTTCCCATACCGGAAGGTGAGTAATTGGGAGAATAATTAGTTGTGTAATCACTGGTTGGAGTAGTAGACGATCCTCCGCTTGATCCAGGTGATATGGAACTCATTGAAGCAGAGGAAAGCATGACATTACTCTTATTGGCCTGATGGACAAAGTATAAGAAAACAACACTTGCCAACCCACTCACAAGAAATATTACATCAAACCATCGATGATAGAAACTGAATTCTATTGATCCTAAAAGATTAGATATTGTATTTCTGTATATCACAGGTAGCGACATTCTCATCATTAAGAACGCACTTAGAAAGTACATTCCCATGATTTGTGCCAATAATAGGACAATGTCATTTCGCGACACCGAATTTGAAACAGCCCGAAAAAACTGAAAAAAATGAAATTGCATAAGAAATAGTTACATCAATCATTGATTTTGAAAATTAAATTATGAAAAATTAGACAGACTCTTAGTAGTTGTATGAGTAATCCACGAATAGAAAAAATGATCATGAGTCCAACAAAAAAGAAGCTCAACTGTTGGGACCAGAAGTCAACATCAAAGTCAATTTTTATATATTTGATGGCTAATGTCAGGCCATATGTTATAGGATCAGTTTTTCCTATCCGGAAAAAAATGATGTTAACGGTTGCCTTGTGTAATGTGGAAAAATTAAATAAGTCTCGGAAATTGTACAGTGTCACATAATGAATTGATAGTGTTTTTTTTTACAGTACCATGATTATTTTATATATACAATAAACAGAAAAAATATAACCCATAAAATTAAAGTATTTTCCTTGCCATGTTTTTGAATATTGAAGACGGTCCTAAAGTTTATTCCAAATTAATTGTAATAAAAAAGTACAATAGATGGCAGATAAAAAAAATAATTATACCCGCTCTTGATATAAATCATCAATATCTATAAATAACTGACGACTAAGATTTTCCAATCCAACGACTTCTTGACGCAGCATACCAATGTCTTTGTAAACATGTTTGTGAGTAAAAATAAGCCATTGGTAAGTTTTGATGAACGTAATACGTACTTTCGCCACCTATTCCCATGTGATTGACCATCGTATTAATCATTTTTCGCATAAATCCACCAACTCGAGAACCTTGCTATTGAAATAAAAAAAGTCAGTTGTTTATCTCGCTCACAATTAAGTTTATAAACTAAATATTACCTCTACAGCGCTTCTTTGGCGTGCTTGAGAAATCAAAATGCGCCTTTTTTTACTTAAAATTATATCTAGTGTTTGAATATATTTCTTTTCGGCAGCTTGTATATCAGCGTCTGTGACTTGTCTATATTATACGACTTCATAATGGTTAATAAAAAGATGAAATGAATGTTTAAAATAATCTTTAATTACCTCAAGAACTCATGTTCTGGAGCATCAAATTGAAACACACCTCAGAAAGAAAAAGAGTGTGGCATAAGGACTATTCACTGCACCGAATCCCGACAATATCGCCATGATAGTCACACCTATTACGCTTACACGACTCATGCCGAATTGTATAAATACATCACCCTGAGGAATTTTTGTAGAATCGGTGAGACTTGTCGAAAAGTTATCTGAAAGAGAACTTAAATTAATTTGATTTTCCATAAAGCTCTTGTGATAAAAAAAAAAAAATTATCATACTTTTTTCAGCCGTATTAGAGGTTTTTTCAATCGGAAAAAAGTCACCAACTCTCCAGAAAATATAAAAATAAATTGCCCAACATAATATTACAATCACAATGGAATATCTTAATCGCAAACCTTCAATTGATGAATATGATGAATATGATGAATATCACAAACATTATTATTGAAATCATTTTAAAAACTTAAAACAACTGACTTTCTTGTATTTTTGATATTATGAGATATAATTGATAAAATGGTGTAAGTATAACCACAAGGAAAAGTAATATATATAAGGTCATTTTCCAGCAAAACCATCTCGAACTACGCGAATATTTATTTTATTATTATTTTGAAAAGAAAAAATTTAATTAATTCTTTATTATATACAAAACGAATTTAAATGATAAACAGATTATATGGTTTTAAATTACTCTTTGTGCATTATTTCTCCAATTTCAAATATTATCAATTCAAATAGAGCGCAACTAGTACTAAACGTCAGTGAGAATATTGCTTGGACGACCTGAGCATCGCGACGATCAGTAGAGGACTCATAATCCTTGAATAGTTTCTTTACTAAAAATATCCATCCAAAAGCAAAAAACAATATTTGTGATCCAATTTGTATAAGACAATCAGATAGTAAAGTAAGAGTAAACTCATGAACCATTTCTAAAATAACGGTAACAGTAAATAAACTTGTAAAGATCGTTCTTTATATATATTGAATCTTATCTAATTTTAATTGGATGAATTAGCGATTTTAGTAGAGTGAAATAGTCCCGTGACTAATTAAACAACCTAAATTCGTCTAAAAATTAATGTTTGCATTAATACAAAGCAGAAATAATACGTATATCTAAATTTTCGTGCCAAAATCTTTTATTTAAATAACAAAAGGTTGATTTCCCTTGTGAATTTATGAGTTTTTTGTAATTTGTTTTTTTTCATTAATTTTTTACTTCGCATTTGTATTACACGCTGATCTTATAATCGGATTGGATAAAATCACGGGACCGCGTCATCACAATTAACGTTTCTATAAATTGAACCTAAAGTAAAACTATTGTACAGTATTTGATTTAGTTTAATTAATTTTTGATATAAGGTGGCTGGCCAGATCAAAATTTAAATTTTCAAGTATACTTAATATCTAACAGGAGGGAACGTACCCAATCCAAAGTGAATCCCACACATGGTGTGATCAATTAAAACTAAAATAAACAATTTAAATTTAATTGATCACGCGATGTGTGGGATTCACTTTGAATCGAGTACGTTCCCTCCTGTTTTAATATCTGGGTGGCAAAAATACCGTTCCTGATGGATCGTCGGTACTGTTCTTGATAAAGAAACAAACATCCTTATTTCTGATGTATGGGATAACTTTCTTCTAATTGGTCAATCACTTTCAATTGTATTTATACAGTTTAAAGTACTTTTTAAGAATTTCATAAGCAAAAAATAAAAATTAAATCAGTTTTTATCTTCAGTAAAGCTTTAATAGTTATTATGCAAAATAATTCAAAAAGATTTTTATTTTAAAAATGTTTTACTTGAAAGGTAAAATTTTTATATATATTGCAATTGTAGAATTACATTAGTCAATTAAAGATCAGATAAATAATTTTTTTATTAAAAAATTTGAGTAATTGACACTTATATAAAATTGCAAAGATGAGGATGTAACAACCTAGTGAAGTGGTTAAGTTGTCAATTCTTAAGTAGCAAGTTTAAGGTTCAATTTATACAAATAATGAATTTTGAAAATTATACTTGTATTATAATAAGTGTTTCTTGCTAATCAGTTGGGTTTTGGGTATTTGTAATTTTAGATATACCAAGTTAGGTTTTACCTGACATTGAAAGCTTGGAACATTTATGTAAAATATAATATTACATATATATAGAGGAATATAAAAAAACTGACATTATATAAGGTTTCAATACAAACTCATAATAAGATCATTAGATATAAAAGGTTAAAAAACTAAGAAGACAGAAATCTACTTGGAAATCTTGAATAAAGTAATAATACAAATTTTTGATAAAGTTATTTAACTGATGAAAATTCATGAAATACCTTTATAGAAATTGTTAAATAAACTAGATAACAAGATATTTAGAGGAGTATATACTTAATCAAATCACTAGAATTATTAAAAGAAAAGGATACATAAGTATATTATATTGGGTTATCTAGATTGGAAGTCTGGAAATTTAGTTGGTTCTAAGTTGTAACTAGTAAAGAATAATAAAAAAGAAATCAGAAAAATAAATATCAGAGTTTGGATGAACTTAACAAGATAATATATAATAGTCTAATAAATAATTCTGACTGTAAATGTTAGTCTCAGCCATAATGTTAAACCAGGTTAGCAGTAAAAGAAAATATAGCTCATTTTGATAAGTTTATCTTAAAGATAAAAATAGTCTAAAGATTATAGTTCTATAATTAAAAATAAATAAATCTGAGTTTGTAATCTAATAAAATTAATACTAGAGTCAGATCAAAGAATTTAAATAAAACATCTAAGCAGAAATGTTAGGTATAACAATTAATAGAAAACCTTTAGGCAGATTCCTTAAATAAGTAATATAGAAAAGTTATATATGTAACTAATTGTATACTTGTCTGATAGTTTAATATGAATACATTTATATAAAACATGTACCTAATATAAGTATTAATAAAAAACTAGAATCAAAGAGGTCACCTTAATACTAAAAAAATAAAAAATAAAAAATAAAATAAAATTACAAA